AGATCATAGTTGGATTTAAGAAACCAAGTTTCTTGATTTTGAGTGCCAATTATCAACCTACGGAATGGTTTCCGCTGGTCCGTAATGTGTTTTGATCAAAACTTTTCTCTCTTGGTCACTATGTATACAATGCATCAGTGTCGTCGAAATGCTCTAACGATAAAGCTCTCATTGTGTGCTACAATGCATCACGATGTAGTGAGTGTTTCGTGCTGTCAATCGACGAGTTGTCCATTTGTCCTCCATGACTTCTCGGTCATGAATATATATCTTGATTTCGTCCCTCTAATCCTTGTATGTATTTGCATCGTCTTCCATGGGTTCGGCTACCCTCTTCATCTTCACTATTTTCTTTGGATGCTTTAGTGATATGGCAGACTTTTTTAGGGAGATCAAACTAAAAAAATTGTTTTCACAACAAGTGTATTGTTAAGTAAAAACTATATTTAAAATCTTAATGTTTTTACGGCACAACAAATAGAGTTAGTGAAGTAATCTCGAAGCAAACCATGTTTCTATTCCTTCGTCATATCTAAGATTCCACATTTCTCTAATCGTTGATAATGTGTTATGGACTTGATTGTCAATGATTTGTATTAGTTGCAAATCTATCATAAGGGCTTTCTCATGCTGTTGGTTATTGCGTTCTCTTCATATGTTGTGAAAAGCGGTTTGGAGTACGTCTCATACGTGTTTTGAGAAATAAGCTTTCAAAGTAACTTTACTGATATCTCCTTCAAAAACCTACAAGCAAAGTAGAGATGATTCATGGTTTCAATGTTGTTTTGGTAGAGAATGCAAGAGCGATTAGCACTAACATTCCACATGAGCATACAGTCTTCCGTTGACATTATATATCGTGAACAACTAGCCACGAAAGGAAAGCATATTTGGATGTAGCATACGATAACCATAATCTCTTCCACCAAACTGTGAGGTTTCACCTCTCGGATCAGTTTCCATGTTGTTTTGGAATTGAATTTTAGCTGAAATTTCTCCTTTCTTTCCCACATCTTCTTTTTGTAATTCTCATTTTCTCTTTTGCTCTTTTATCGCTTCTTCTATAATATTGGTTAAATTAAATAACATGCCCTATAAAATATTTTTTGAACGACACCAATGATTTTTGTCTATGATGTATTCTCAATCACCTATAATATTATTTAGGAAGTGATTTTTTAAAGTTTTTGTCACATGTCAACTCTACGATCACTCTTACACAAAAAAATGTGTCATGGCTTATAAAAGTTGACTTAACAAATTGGAATCATACCGAAATCTTTTACTAACCAAATTAATATTTTAGTTCATAAATAAAGCAAAAAGAATTTTAACCATTAATTTATAGTATTTTGTTTTTTATTTAAAAACTATTTAAAAATTAAAAATTAGTTTTTGTCACAATAAAACTTTAGAACACTTCTATATATAAAATTCATGTAATAGAACATAGCGGTAGATCAGGTGTTGCTTGGTTTATGATGATGTGATTGCTTTATGTTTCTAGTGGATTCGTTTAATAACCCAATCTCGACAAAATCTATGTGTTCAATTTTATTTTGCGCTCTCAATTATTAATTTTCTTACTATAAAACATCAGACCTAAATATTTTTTAACAAAAAAATTCTTATGATGTCAATCATAATTAAAGCCGTGCATGGCATGACTCATGTAAGGCATTTGCTTGTAAGATCAAATCTGGAAAACATACGTCAACATACTTTTTCACAGTGACCATCCAATCCACGACCATGTATTAAAAGTTTATATGCATACAGTTCATGAATAAGAAAGGGCTTCCTTTTTCATCTTGTTCCCTTTGCACAAGTATGCAGAGAGAGAACCATAAGCTCTTGCTCTCTCTCTCTATTTTTTTTTTCTCCCAAAACTTTTCTATCTTTTTTTAATTTGTTCTTCCCTTATTCAGAGAGATCCTACATCGTAGGATTCTTTCTCTGTCCTATCTCACCCACAAAAGTAAAAAAAAAAAACAAGTGCTTCAAGTTGAAACTTATAGTCACAACATCTAACACTCATTAGTGAGATTGCATCACAGAACATGCAACAGCTTGTGCCCAATGCCTTAATCTTTGTTTCACCTGTTGAGGATTGTCCCCTGCACAACTCAAATCACAGTGATATTGGTCTATGTATATTTATTTATATGGACCATAAGAATCCAGATTAAATGGAACTTTTGTTTTACCTGGGCATAAGATCTTTAGGGAATCCGAGTCAGTTTTCGGGCTACAAGGTATGCTGCTTGAGGAAGCAGACGTAGAAGACAAGGATCCATCTCCTCCATTGCTGCTACGGCTGCTACTAGGGGAAGGAAGTGGAGAAAGCTGCCTATTCACAGCAAAGTAAAGATCTAATGCTGGTAATGTGTTGCACAGCTTCTGTCCGGCTTCTTCATTGAAACCAAACCCTAACTCGATCGACCCTTTAAGCTCCCTTAAGTCTTCATCGGTTAGATCCGGCGGATCGTTATCGTTTTCAGAGACGCCTTTCTGCTTCTTCTCTTGAACCTTTAACATCTGACGGCGCCTTTTTTCCCAAGCAACATCTCGCGGTGTCTCACGCATTGATAACTGTTTCGATAAACGCTGTTTTGGTTTCTGTGAGCCTAATGGCGCCACTGTTCTAACATCAGGTAGTGACTCGGGAAGCGATGGTGATGAAGACGAGATTGGTAAGGTAAAGCCTTCTCTTCTCCTCACCACTTTTATCATTTTAAAGAGATGGCTTGTAACGCAAGGCAGGCAGGGGTTTTTGAGCTTATTATTGGGGGTGGAAATACCTTGTGGTGCAAATTAGGGCTTTTCGTTGGTGATTTTCTTGGCCTCTTTTCTTTATGAGAATATCAAAGCTTTATGGCTTTGCTTCTGGGATCTAGATGTATGTTCTTCATCTGATGGCCGCGTGTGACACCAATTTACGCGGCCAACAAAGAAGCTTCTACGGGTCGGGTTGATCAGAAAATCTTCAGTTCACCCTTTTCTACCTGATAAATTTGCCGACCCGACCACATAAAACTCTCACAAACGAGACTCAGGGAGCTTTTATGGAGGATTGGAAAAAGCAGTTTCCACCATTGATTTATGCAATGAGGGTCGAGGCTATTTTTCTCCATTGTTTAAATTTGATGCCAGGACTCATCCCATTTTAGGGACCTTTCTTTGTTTAGATTCTTGAGCCCCCCCCCCCCCCCCAAAAGAAAAACGTGTTTCAGAATTATCCCTACTCTAGAATAATATACATCGACCAAACTTGTTAATTTTCCTATAATCAAGAAGTCAAATTTCAGAACTCTACTATACGTTCGAAACAATATAGTTAGAAGTCATGTAATTCTATATCATAGTGAATTAAAAAAACTCCGGAAGTAATATATTTCCTCATTTAATTTAACCAATTGCTAAACATAGCCTTCTTCGGTTAATCCTCTCCTCCATAGATTCTCCAACCACTTTCTGTTTCTCTTTCCGACACAACACCGAAATTTGAGAAAAAACCAATAACCCCTCTGCAGAAAAAGAAAAAAAAAACGAGCGGTTTTTTGTCTTGCTGAGGTTTCTGGTTTCGTATCCATGGCGTTGATCAGACACCGTTAGGTTGCAGAGAGGAAAAGAAACAAGCCTCCAGTTTTCTCTGCTGGTGCTTGAGGTAAAAGTTCTACAGAGAAAAGTAAGTATTCTTTGTTTGATCGTGTTCTTGTACGTTAAACCTCTTTTTTTATGTTTCAGCCATGAACGAGAAAAGCCGGATTCTGTTTTCCCTCCTCTGTTTCTTCTCTGTTCTTTTGGTTTCTCCATCTCAAACTAACGGCAAAGATTTCGCGTTGAGCTGCGGGGCATCAGAACCGGCTTCTGATCCAGACAAGAAAAAATGGGAACCTGATACCAAGTTCTTGAAAACGGCAAACACGGTTCATGCAACAGCTACTTATCAAGATCCTTCACTTCTTTCGACGGTTCCTTACATGACAGCAAGAATCTTTACAGCTCCTGCAACTTATGAAATCCCGGTTAAAGGAGACAAAAGACATTTGCTCCGCTTACATTTATATCCATCAACATACACGGGACTTGACATTTCCGATTCCTATTTCTCCGTCGCAGCTAACGATGTTACCCTTCTCAGCAATTTTAGCACAGCTATCACATGTCAAGCCATGACCCAGGCTTACCTCGCTAGAGAATATTCTCTCGCACCAACCGAAAAGGATGTTTTGAGCATCACATTTACTCCCTCTGATAAACACCCAAAGGCATTTGCTTTCATAAACGGTATTGAGGTCGTTCAGATGCCAGAATTGTTTGATTCAGCTATTCTTGTTGGGTTCACAGACCAGACAGCGGATGCTAAGACCGCAAATCTTCAAACGATGTTTAGGCTTAATGTCGGTGGTCAGGATATTCCCGGAAGCCAAGACTCCGGTGGATTAACCAGAACTTGGTACAATGATGCGCCTTACATCTTCAGCGCAGGTCTCGGTGTTACCCTACAAGCAAGCAACAATTTCAGGATTGATTACCAGAAAATGCCGGTTTCTACTGCTCCAGCCGATGTCTACAAAACAGCTCGATCACAGGGACCAAACGGAGACATCAACATCAAATCGAATCTCACATGGTTGTTTCAAGTTGACACGAACTTCACCTACATCATGAGACTCCATTTCTGTGAATTCCAGCTTTCGAAAATCAACCAGAAAGTATTCAACATTTACATCAACAACAGAACCGCGCAGACGGATCCAAACGCCGCAGATATAATCGGATGGACAGGAGGAAAAGGTATCCCAACGTACAAAGATTATGCGATATACGTTGATGCCAATAACGGAGGAGGAGGCGAGGAGATTTCGCTGCAGATGACTCCATCGACATTTGCCAAACCGGAATATTATGATGCACAGCTTAACGGGCTAGAGGTTTTCAAGATGGACACAATGAAAAATCTTGCAGGTCCAAACCCCAAGCCATCGCCTATGCAGGCTAACGAAGAGGGCAAAAAAGAATTTCAGGGTGACAAAAGAATCAAAGCTTTAGTCATTGGTTCCGCCGGAGGAGTTGCAGCGGTTTTGCTTTGTGCATTATGTTTTACAATGCATCAGAGGAAAAGAAAATTCCCGGGAAGCGACTCTCACACATCGAGCTGGCTTCCAATATACGGAAACTCTACCACATCGGGAACCAAATCCACCATCTCGGGGAAGAGCAACAACGGAAGCCACCTATCGAATCTTGCAGCGGGTTTATGTCGTAGATTCACATTGTCTGAGATCAAACACGGAACACAAAACTTCAATGAGTCAAACGTAATCGGAGTGGGAGGGTTTGGTAAGGTTTACAAAGGAGTAATCGATGGGGGCACAAAAGTGGCGATCAAGAAATCAAACCCGAATTCAGAACAAGGTCTCAACGAATTCGAGACGGAAATCGAACTTCTCTCGAGATTAAGACACAAACACTTAGTGTCCTTGATCGGATACTGCGACGACGGAGGAGAAATGTGTCTGATATACGATTACATGTCCCTTGGAACACTCAGGGAGCATCTGTACAACACCAAGAGACCTCAATTGACTTGGAAACGAAGGCTAGAGATCGCCATTGGAGCTGCAAGAGGACTGCATTACCTTCACACAGGTGCAAAGTACACGATTATACACCGTGACGTGAAAACGACAAACATCTTGGTCGATGAGAATTGGGTTGCGAAAGTTTCCGACTTTGGGTTGTCTAAAACCGGACCAAACATGAACGGAGGTCATGTAACGACCGTCGTGAAAGGAAGTTTCGGGTATTTAGATCCAGAATACTTCAGAAGACAACAATTGACCGAGAAATCAGATGTTTACTCTTTCGGAGTTGTTCTATTCGAGATCTTGTGCGCTAGACCGGCGCTAAACCCTAGTTTGCCAAAGGAACAAGTGAGTCTTGGAGATTGGGCGATGAATTGCAAACGAAAAGGGACTCTAGAGGACATAATCGATCCTAATCTGAAAGGAAAAGTCAATCCAGAGTGTCTGAAGAAATTCGCAGATACGGCGGAGAAGTGTCTCTCCGATAGTGGATTAGAACGGCCGACGATGGGAGATGTCTTGTGGAATCTCGAATTCGCGCTTCAGGTACAGGAAACTGCTGACGGATCCCGCCATCGAACGCCGAGTCATGGCGGTAGTTCGGAGGATTCAGTCGACGGAGGAGGCATGGCGGTTAACGTCGGCGCCGGGGAACACGACGCGAGTGATCTTTCATCAGAAGACAGCAGTGGAATATTTTCTCAGATTGTAAATCCCAAAGGGCGATAAGGTAATTTCGGCAACTGAGCGAAAGCATATCCGCCTC